CCGGAACGAGAGAAGCAGGAAAAGCAGCAACTGGCAGCGCCGAGGCAAATGCATCGGGGCTGCCGCATTGTGGCAAGACACACTGGACACTAAGATGAGAAACTAAGAGTTTTTAAAAATACACTTTTAAAGAATTGTACAAGAACATGCTTTTGTAACAGTGAGTGAAATCTTCACTCTTACAAACGAATTTTTAAGTATTTTATTAGGATGTTCCGAAACTCTTGTATCCCACCTACAGTGATCAGAATGGATGCAAAAGCAGCGCAGAAGGCCAACCGTATCCTGGGCTGTATTAACCATGCGAAGAGAGGAAAAGAAATATGAAAGTATAAGTGAGACAGGAAACAAAAACTATTGCTATTGGTTGGATAATTGGTCAGATTTGATCTAATATCACCTTAAACAACTATGTTCAAATAGCTGGAATTTGGAAAAAATGCTTAAATAAGTTAAATTAAAAAATAGTACAGGAATCTGATCCAGCATTTTTACTGCAATACTGATTTTGACACTGATTTCATGGTAACACAGTCTGCAGAGGTGAAAGCCACCTGCCTGGCTCTGGATGCTGCTGAACGAGAGAAGCAGTAGAAGCAGCAACTGGCAGTGCAGAGGCAAACACACCCGGGCTGCCGCATTGTGGCAAGACACACTGGACACTAAGATGAGAAACGAAGAGTTTTTAAAAATACACTTTTAAAGAGTTGTACAAGAACATGCTTTTGTAACAGTAAGTGAAACCTTCACTCTTACAAACGAATTCTTAAGTATTTTATTAGGATGTTCCAAAACTCTTGTATCCCACTTAGAGTGATCAGAATGGATTCAAAAGCATGTATTTGTTTTCATTTGCAGTTCTGTGAAGCAAAAACTATTATGGTTAATAGCACCTTAAAAAAAAAATGCTATTTTCTTCCCATTCAAAATATCCACTTTTCCTGACAGTTAACTGAACAATTCTGAAACCACATTGATAAGAGCCGATAATTCTGGGAGTAGCTTGCCCAGATGTCTGCTGAATTAGACTAATTTTCAGTGGCATCTTTACTCGTATTTATACCAAAACATGCAAAAATAATTATTTTGGATTTTATTACATTGCTGTGAGACTATTTCTGACTGAGGTAAAAATTTCCATTGTACTGAGGTCTGGGCTAATGATAAAATTAAAATTTTAATCTTAGGAGGTAACTCCTGTGCTTAAACATGATAGCTGTTTGAAAAGATCCTATCACTCCAAATACCCTAAAACACTTAACAGATTTGAAATGCAGCTATAAAGGCTTTTAAAGATCAAGTTCTCTGCACTAACATATAATTATTATAAATATTCAACAGTATGCCGTGCTGCTCAGGTCCAAGGAAAATGGCTTTTTTTTTTTTTCCCCAAATAAAAAAGAAGAATTTGCCAAGCACAAGGAGAGTGTTTTCTGCAGGAAGATCACACCATCATTTTCTAAGCTTCATTTAAATATTTGGTGTTGGGAGAGGGTGGCTGTGCAGTCTCAATGGACATAAGCCCTGAAACATGAAACTGAGTACTCCACAAATGGACTGTGTGGAACAACTCAGAGAACTAATGAAGAACATATTTTTCTCTGATTATAAAAGAAGTAGCGATTAAGATACTCTGAATGCTACAGGAAAGCAAATTATAAGCATGATACTATAATTTTATTATTACTATAATAACATTATTATACATTCTAACATAAAATTCTCTGAGAATATTCACCAAACCTTCCAGTTTTCTAAATCACCTAAAATATTTACCTTTTAGGGGCAGAGTTCTTTCATGATTTTCTTAAATAAATACACTCTGCTTTTTGGGCACAGAAGATGACTTTTTTTGTCCCCCCTCCCCCCCTCCATTTTAAAGTCCATTCCATCTATTGTTTGGATGAAGGGCATGGTGAAAAAAACCTGCCACAATTGAAGAAAGATGGTATGAATAATAAAATCACATCTTTTTTCTTTCATCTTGTGTTCTGACCTTTTTGGACGTAATTTCCTCTGTAACCCCACAGTAAAGTCTATGTGATCTGTGTCCTCTTTTTCCCCCCAGAACTGCTTCTCTCTTTAATAATGGTTATTACTGTTATGTTACAGCTCACTTCACGAAGACCAGAATTTTCAGACTTGGGTGCATACAGTTATGGTAGCTCTTAGGTAATAAAACCAGATACTTCCTCACCCCTCCCCCCCCACCTCCCCCAAGGACTGATTTTTTTAAAGGGTCTCCACTTTGTAGTATAATCCATAGGATTGCTGGGGCTGTTTGCTCTCTTGGAAAAACATGACAACTACATTCAGATGCTTTGCTATGGATACTATGCCTTCGCTTCAGACAGATTTCACTGTTGGGGTTTAAATTTCTGCCAGTTCAGTGGAAAGGAATATCTAAGAAGAGAGTTCTAGTTTGAATACAAATGTAAGGGGAGGCAAATATCTGCAAATTTGTAAAAAAAAGGCCATTTGTTAACATTGGCAATGCAAATAGACTGTAACTGCAGTTGAATAACTAGGCTTTCAGTGCGTTTACTGTCATAGAGTACTTAACACACATACTTCACAAAATAATATCACTGTTGACGTGGCGACATATGGCAAAAGAAGTGCATGAACAACGTCCTTGCACAGGGAATTTACATAGATGGGATCGATTTTTCCAGACTCGTATATAAAATCAGCCTGGTCCCTGTGTGATCACAGTGTGTAGCGGTTTTATTCAGGAAAGAGTTAACTCTCTTCACAGTGGCTGGTATGAAGCGATGTTCTTGGATTTACCCTGAGAAAAGTACTGATAAGGTGTTTTTTTAGCTGATGTTGGGGAGTGTTTTCACCACATTCAAGGTCTTTCTCAGCTTCTTATACTGCAGCTGCGTTCCCAACTTTCTCACTACAAGCAGTGTGGGGGAACACACAGTTCAGATGTGTGTGAGTAACCCAAACTGACTGAAGGAGTATTTCATTCCATAGCATGTCATGCTCAGTGCGTAAGTGGGGAGTGGGCTCAGGGGTTCCACTCTTTTTGCTCCTTTGCTAACTCCTTTGTTAGCTGCTTTGCTAACTCCTTTGCTGCCTTGTTTGTCAGGGAGTGAGTTAGTGGATCTGGTAGTTTTCCTGGTTGTGCTGTCACTTGTGGGGCTCGCTCAGACTCTGCTGCGATCGCTCTTGGGCTCCAGCTCTCGGGCTCTCTGGCTCTGACTCTCACTTATCAGGACCTGGCTGTGCATCAGTCAGCAGGTGGTGAGCAATTTAATAATTTGTTTAATTTTCTATTATTTTAATTACTTAGTAGTAGTAGTATTTGTATATATTCGTATGTATATATTATTCATTTAGATTCAATTAGTTAATAGTTCTTATCTCAATTTTACAAGCTTCCTTGTCTTTTTCCTCCGATTCTCCCCCCCTGCTAGAGGAGAAGGGACCTGTGAGAGCAGCTTCGTGGAATTTTGCTGGCCGGAGTTAAATCACGACACACGGGCGCAAAAAAAATTCCTTACACAGCTTGTGCTGGTTGACATACCTAGTGTTGAGAAAGAAAACAACAGGTCTTGAAGGACCAGAATGTCTTCAGAATTCATGTTGTTGCTTTTACCTTGCAAGGGTAACTGCTAGCCTGATTTTAAAAATGGTTAAATTTAGTAAAATTAGAATTACGCTATTAGAAAACATACAGTATTTTCCTGAAGAGAGTGTTTTCACGGCTTCCAGTTTATCTATTGCAATAACTGCTACAGTAGTATGACTACAAGTGTGTGACCTCCAAAGAGTAGTGAAAGTCTCCATAAGACAAATACAACACTGTCAACAAAGATCCTTTAAGAGGTCCCCAGCTACCTCAGGTGGCATTCAGTCCTCGCTTTTGCCACATGAGGGAAGTGCGCTTGGGCTTGACCAATTGCCTATTTTATATATATTTTTGTGGTGATTAAGTAGCCTTTCATTTGGGAAATCACATGCATGTTTTAATTTTGGAAGAAACAAGCTAAACACACCAGGTTTTCAGCCATGCCAAAGTTTAAATCAACTATATGTGGCCAAAGTCTAAACAAAGGCTTGAAATTTTGAGGGTGGGGAAAGCTTATGTAGATGGCAATTAGAAGTATGTCAATTACCATATATGAGAGCAGTCATTAATTAAATTGGTTATAGGTAGGATGTGGCCACAGTATTTTTTAGCTAAAAGATACCAATCCTGCTTATCTTACCTTCTAATATTTAGAAATTCACTCTATACTGAAAGAAGAAATCATGCCTGTTTCTCAATCGGCAATATAACTTCTTGCAATTTCCTGTGTTTTCTCTAGAGGTCTCCTGGCTAATGACTCTACCCATGTCCAGGGTTCTAGTACTGACGGTGAGACATGACTGAAAAATATTACAGAATGTCCTTGGTTGAAGACACTGTCATTGTGCAAACCATTCTAGGTTTCTGAAAGCACACAGGAAAAACTAAAACAGCTGCTGAAAAATTTCTCTTTAGAACACAAACACTCACACACCCCTTGCATAAACACTGTTTTCTATTTTCTTACTACATAAAAAAGTCTTTTTGCCCTTTCTCCAGTGCCATAATTACCATGGAAACAGAACTACAAATGAAAACAGAAATAACATGGTTTATGCTCACAATAAAATAAAACATACCCCAGAGTATAACTCAACCAACATCAAATGCCTGGTTTATCTGCACATGTTTGATGGTTGAAAAGTTAGTTTTAGTTTTCTGAGAAAATCAGGTGCTTTCCTGTCTGGGACAGAGAACTGACAGTGTAGAGAGGGCCCAATCTTAAAAAGACTGGCTGGCTGATGTGTATATACAGTACACGTGGAATTCGCAATTTTTTTGAAATTTGTGTATATATTTATTTATCATAGAATCACAGAATGGTTAGGGTTGGAAGGGATCTTAAAGACAATCTAGTTCCAACCCCCCTGCCATGGGCAGGGACACCTTCCACTAGACCAGGTTGCTCAAAGCCTCATCCAGCCTGGCCTTGAACACTTTCAGGGATGGGGCATCCACAGCTTCTCTGGGAAACCTGTTCCAGTGCTTCACCACCCTCTCCGGGAAGAACTTCCTGATATCTAATCTAAACCTCCTCACTTGTAATTTAGTGGGGAAAAAAATTTCAATTTTGATGAAATTATGAGACCTACAGGTGCAGAATAGTCTGTATCTTGGCTTGCAAATATTTGTTTCCATAAAACCTTCAACATAATTTGAAACCTAGTAGGAAAACAGCCATACCTGCCCCTTCTGTATGTGTACATGTATATGTGTGTGTGTGTATTATGTATATGCACATATATGTACATGCACAGAAGCATATGCACATGCATATAGTACATGTATATTTACAATACTATCTGCAACACTAAACATCCTATTTAAAAGGAAATTTTAGTCAAGAATGTAACTACACACAATGGGGTGCCTTTCTGTTTTGCAGAAAGAAAATCACTTTAAATTTTGCCAAAGACTGAATGTAGGAGGTTGAAATCTTAATCTGTACAACTTTGGCTCCAATTATTTAAACTTTGTTTCACGGGACTGTTTTACATTAGTGCTATCCTATAAGTTCTTTATTACAAATGATCAAAATATTTAGTTCCCTATGAATTTTTACTCTCCTGTACTGTGAAATATGGTTTAGCAGGGAGCTTATTTCATTTTTAGTACTGCAGCACCATGATTATAACACCTATGAAGGTAAGTCAGTGCTTCACTGAATACAGGGAATTAAGAAGGAATCATCACTGCAATATATTTTCTAAGACCTGAGTATTCTTAAGTCTCATTATTTTTCCCTAACAAGGAGTTTATTGTAATAATGATTTCTTCAGGGCATCTGAAATTAAGTTTCTTTTAAAAATCAGGTCACCCAAGAACACCAAAACTAGACAAGACATTAAAATACATTTAATGAAACTTCCAACAAATGAAAGTGGCAGGACACAAAGCTTTTCAGCTTAAGATAACCTCCTGTGGAGCAGTTTACCTCTCATGTTTTTATATCCTTTGCTTGTCATGTTTTCATTTTGCAGTAAAAATACATTCTGTCCTGTTCTGCAAAACCAGGAACTAAGAATAATTTAAGCAGAAGTTTTTTTTGTTTCATTTGACAAATAATAAAATAATGATCAAACATTTCTGGGACTTCATTTATTGCCAAATTCTGTTAGCCACCTACAAAAATGTAGGAAATTCTTACAAATATACCAACTAGGTCTGATATTTATGTTGACGGGACTTCCGAATGAACAGGAAAAAAAAAAGCTTAACAGTTTGGCCCAGTTAAATGCTTCCAAAAAACTTCCAGGGAGTTTCATATGTGTGTACAATCTAAATATTACCTCTCTTCCTTGTCTTGCATCTTTGACTGGTCTTGGTAGCTGTGGTCTGTTTCTCCATAGGTATCCCTGCGACCCAGTATGGATATTTCTGTGTCATTTTGTAGTTTAACAAGACTATTCTGTAATCCTACATTCTCATGTTCCAGTTTGTGAATGGAAGCTGTGAAATTTCCATGTTCTTTGTTAGATAAATTTATGCTCTGTGAAAGGAGATAAACCCATCATTAAATAGTTATGTTTTCCACAATAAACGGATGTTAGTATTTTTAACAAGCAAACACAAAACAATGTTCTATCCTAAAGAAAGACCTAGCTGCCATATATAATCATGCAGCACTTAAAGCAAACCAACAGAATTGCCTCCAGAAAAAACACTGTAGATAAATGGGAGAGAAGGCACAACAGCCTCTGTAACACAATAAAACAAATTAAAATTTCTCAACAAACATGCATTCAAAATATTATTGTTGTAAATTCATCGCTTGCTTTGTAAAACTTAGGACATAAAAGCAACCATAACAGCTACAGCTACAGACTATATTGCTCCCTCCAGTAACAATTCCACCAAAAATAACAAGAAAAATTATAGAAGTTCATTACTGTACCAGATACAGGGTATGTCTACAGGCACATTTAATATCTGTGTCGAGATACAGTTACCTTCAGTTTTAGAAGCAGTAAAGCCACATTAGCACAGTGCGCTCTCTCTGTGCTACTAAACCCTGCTTCTCAGTTGGGTCAGCCCACATGAATAAAAGTCACAATCCTGGAAGTGCTAAAGAACACACACACTGCGACCGGGGCTAAAGAGGGGAGTTTGGAGAGCAGTTCTGGAAGTTGACTGGCCAGGATACCCCATTCCTTTTCTGTCCTATCACTTATTCCATGAAGCCTATGCTGCACACTGAGCTAGCGAATTTGGAAGTACCTCTGCAGTAGACTGCACTGCACTGAGTAAATATATTGGCAATAACTGTCATCAACAGAAAATTCTCAAAGGTTTTATCAGATTACGCACAAAAGACTAAAACCCCAGACATTTTATTAAGTTGTGCTTTCATGTATTTCTAGATTAAACTTAATCTTTTGGAACCCAGTAACTCACGAGTATGAAGGATTTGGTTCTTAGTATACTGCTAGTGCAACAGGGCTCCTGCACCTGGAAGCTTGTCTGTTCCTTGTCCTGACCGGTTTGATGTCATCTCCTCCCACAAACCTTGCCTTGCTTAGCCAGTTTTAGGGGGAATTTATAAACCAAGCTGGCATGGAAGTGCCAGAAACTATAACAAAATCTAGCATTTTGTGCAAAGGCGGGGCGCAGAGGCTCAGCTATGCCTCCCAAGTGCAGAGGAGTGGCAGAACAGGAGTGCTAAGTCACCCTACCACTACCAGCTCTAAAATCAGCAGTACAGTTATAATGGCATGAACGCCAGAACTCAGCTGGCACAGCTACACTGCTTTTGAAACCTGAACAAGTAACCCTGCCTGATGATGCATTAGCCCACACTGACTTTGGCTGGCAATAGTTTGAGGGGGACTGTGTGGTGCTCAGCTGTATTGTGCAAACACAGCCATAAAAATCTCCCCAGTCCCTGCAATCTTAATATTAAATACCTCACAATCTTCAATGTTTAGAACCTCACAATACACTAGTAAAGTAGGAAAGAATAATTGAGTTCACAAAAGCACTGATATGTGCAGTGACCTCGATATATCTAGTCACTGGATCCTACTGTTAGAATTTAAGTAACACATGGCATCTCCAAGGATTCCCATCAGAGAGCTCTTCTCAGTCTTCATGGAGAGTATCACTGTAGAGTCGAGCTAGATGTGCATACACACATCTGTCTGTGTTTTCACAATAACATATCATAACATACATATATCCATGACAGCGTGTAAGTATGTACGGGAAATACATCACTGGGAGACATATACGTGATTTTAGGAGTGTGGAAAACTGCAACACCTTCATGCGTTTGTCAGGCTACAGTAAGATAATTAACAGGCTACAAATCCCCCAAAGATGTATTTACAGCAGTATTTACAAACAAAATTCCAGTGTTTTTTCTAGTGACAGATACAATAACTGCAGGCATTTTGTAAGGAGAGGATGTTTTGAGGCTTTTTGCGGAAGGCAGCATACTTAACATTTATTGTGTCCTTATAAACTATAGTTTTACATGATATTATGGCACAGTTTTTACTAATTAAACTTTAAATATTTTCTGCTTGGAGAGCAATAAATAATTAACTCTGAAAATAAGCTGGGTGGGGGCAAAATGTGTCAGTTTTTTACTCTGTTATTTAAATATCATACATACAAAGGGGTAAAAGAGTAAAAAAGGGACATATTTTTGTATCTGTGAGAATGTTTAAAAAGAAACATTTTCTGAAATAAGTGATGTCACTTACAAAAAACAGGCTCCTAGAAACTGTTCAGTGTCTAGACAGTTACTGAAAAATTTAGCTTACTTGTAGTTTACTACAGTTAAGGTCAAAATTATTCGTAGCCATACCCATCTTCAGGATGTGTGTGAATCCCACTTGGTTTGGATTACGCCTCACACCTTATCTTTATTAATTTATTTTACACAAGCCAGAAATCTCTAAATCTGCCATGATCTCACATTTACAATAAATATAAGTAGCTGCTCTGCACATTGCATTGATTAGATTAAAAAAAATTTACCGTGCAACATTTACAATCCTGGTTTTCCACCATCTCTTTTAGATGTGCATTTTCAGATTTGATAACTTTGCACTGGAAATCCAACAACTAGGAAAAGATTTAATTCTTAGTTAAATACAAGAATATTACTGTTAAATTGAAATAACACTGAGTATAGCTATACATAAGTTTAATTTTACAAAACATACATAAAGAATTATGAAACTAACTATATTTTTTTAAATACAGCAATATTAAAGCAGAAAGAAGCTTAAACCATCTACAAAATATGTACAAACGCAATCCCTCTGATTTTATTTACCTTTTTGAAAGAAATAATTCCTTAGGAAAATGAGAGTTCACATGCAGCTACAAGATACAAAGAGAGACAGATTTTGCAGGCCACTGAAACTGGATGAAATCTTAGTCATGAAGCCTAGGAATGACATCCACTCTTTCAGTGATACTACAGGGAATGTGGCCTGGTAAAGAGTGCCACACAGTAGGAGACATCTCGCATTTTCACAAACACTAAGTTTCCAATCGTCAAAAGTAAAGTATTACATTAATCACAATTTTCAGTATGCAGTGACCGTCTCAGAAAAACCAGAGATACCCAGAAACCTCGAAGTAGGAAGGTTCTTTTGGGTTTAAATTGAAAAAGGGTAGAGTGAGATAAGATGTAAGGCCAAAATTCTTCACAGTGGGGGTGTTGAGGTACTGGAACAGGGTGCCCAGAGGAGCTGTGGATGCTCAAACCATTCTGTGATTCTGTGATTAAAAAACTGAGTGATGAAGAAACCATTAGTTTTTAAAACTGAAATTTGCAATGAAAAAAATGGTATCTTACACTTTTCAGCTCTAAAATTTGTAAAATTTGTAACATTCTTCAAAAAGCTTTAAAAAAACCCTGAAAAAATAGGAAGTCATAGAATCACAGAATGGTTTGGGTGGGAAGGGACCTTAAAGATCATCCAGTTCCACCCCCCCTGCCATGGGCAGGGACACCTTCCCCTAGACCAGGTTGCTCAAAGCCTCATCCAGCCTGGCCTTGAACACTTCCAGGGATGGGGCATCCACAGCTTCTCTGGGCAACCTGTTCCAGTGCCTCACCACCCTCTCTGGGAAGAACTTCTGCCTGATATCTAATCTAAATCTCCCCACTTTCAATTTAAACCCGTTCCCCCTTGTCCTGTCACTACAGGCCCTTGTAAAAAGTCCCCTCCCAGCTTCCTTGTAGGCCCCTTCAGGTAGTGGAAGGCTGCAATAAGGTCTCCCTGGAGCCTTCTCTTCTCCAGGCTGAACAAACCCAATTATCTCAGCCTTTCATCATAGCAGAGGTGCTCCAGCCCTCTGACAAGTTTTAATGATAAAGAGTATATAATAACAACACACTGGAAGCTTTCAAGATCTTTTGCTTGTTAAAATGGTAACTGCTTTTGATGGTCAGAACGAATGGCAATTTAGATGTACAGTTGGCATCTACTGGTGCTTTCTTGTTCCGGTATCAATTTGGCTGCTTTAGTAATATTTCACGGATATTACAGCACTGCTGATGAAAACAAGAACAAACGTAATGTCTTTTTTGAAAGATAACGTACGACATTATCAGGTGTGGAGTAAAATGATATAGGCTGGTTTTGCCTGTTTGCATACCTGTTGTTTTGCTAACAATTTGTCTTTTATCTCCAACTCCATTTTTAACTGTCTTTCCAGAAGACTAGCTTTGTCCATGATAGTTGCTATAGTGATCTCCTTCTGATGAAGCTCTTCTGTCAGGTCAGAGATTTCTGTCTTCATTCTTTCCTGCTTGGAGCGATGGGACTGCTCCTCTCGATAAACATGGTTTCTTATCTGTAACAAAATATGTTTCAAACAGAAAATGTTGTGCAGTAAATATGATTGCATCACTTGCTACCTATCAGTGACTTTTTTTGCTTATGCTTCCAAGACACCAACTCTTCTACCCGAATCAGAGATTTTTGAGATTATATAGTAAAATGTCTTCATGAGTCAGTGCACATAGCTTTATTTATTTTACATCTTTTTTCAACCCTTCTCTTGTGCTTTCATTTGCCTATTTAGTATTAGAAATGAACAAAATACAAGGCATTTAAATTAACATTTAAAAAGAATGTAATAAAAATGGTGTTAATTTTAAGGATTGGATTTATAGAAAAACATATTCAAGGAAATTTCCATTCAATAAAACTAAGTATGATTTATTTATATTGCTCCTAAATTAATTTAGGTTTAAAATGTTTAATGGAGCCTAAATTAACTTAGGAGCAATATAAATAAATAAATCTGGATACTCTTTAATGAGAAACTGTTAGAAATAAAAAGTATATATGGTAAATCACTTTATGAGAATTTTTCCTGCAATTATATATAAAAATGAAGGTCAAACTTTTTGCACTGTCTCCTTTGCAGAGTCCTCCAAATAATGAACAGAAAGATTGTTTTCATAATCTTTCTACTATAACCAACAATTTATTATTGATAGATATTTTTATTACATAAAAAAGAAAACTCAGCCTAAGAACCTTTGAACCCATTTTAATAATCCCTCGCAGTACTGTACCCAATCAGTAACAGATGGCTTTTCATTTTGATTTATGCAAACTACACAGAAATACTAGAATTGTAAACAAATGGATATAGATGCAAAAAACCTAAGAGCTATGACTGTCATGCCAAAATTGCTGCATCCAAGTCAGCTGCATCCAATTAGAGATAGTCCTGCTTATATTACTACTCAGCAAAACCCCAACGTGCCTGTAAGAGGAGTTCTGAGCATCTTCTAGTCCCAGAGTGTTTTGGCCTGCCAAACCATATGCCATTCCACAGTGCCATGCCACTACTGCTTGCACACAGCACTCCTGGAACACGCAATGCAATGTGAGGCATAGTTCCAGCTAAAGAGCCCTGCCTTAGACCATGGAGCAGGTGACTGATTAAGCTTAGCCTTGTGTGGGTACCCACCATAGTGACTCACATCAGTCGATCTGTTAGCACCTCTTACATGTGAGACTACCTACAAACTAATGCTCATCTCCTATAGCCTATTAATTACTCATAGCCTGGGAGGGTTTATTACTTGCATGGTGTTATCTGACTCACAGTGATGCTTAGGCATGGTCTCTTCCATTATTCCAATGAAACAGTTAGGTCTGCTGTTAGTGCACAGAATCAGAATGTCAATTTTACAGCTGCACAACTACCTCCAGAAATGCAACCACATAAGAAAAGTTTTTCATATATGAGAACTTCATGCTCTTCTAAACTCACAGTTTATCCTCCTGCTCTTTTCTGCATATGCACACACCCAAGGTCAGTACTTTGCTCTCTTCCAAAAATCCAATATTGCAGTTAAGATCTGGAAATACATAATAATAATAAATACCTTGTTTAGCTCTTCTTGTTGGCATTGTTGATTTTGTGCCAATAGCAATAAGCCCGTGGTTTTATTTTCTAGTTGCTCAGTATGTTGTACACGAAAAGATTGATGCCTTAAAAAAAGAAATAAACACATCATGAAACAAGCAGAAATGTCAATAACCTTTACGTTACAGTATCCTCTCCACAGTGTAAAGCTGTGGAAGACCTGCTTGCTGATGAAAGAAAAAAAACAACGGAAAATTTGGCCTAAACCAGGTTGGTTCTTGGGAGATTTCTAGAGATTAAAGACAATGCAAATGCTTGCAGAAAGAATCCAAAAATCTCTTGCAGACTAGTATTTCATATAATCTCAAATATCTACATTAGATTAGATAAACCATAAAAAGAACATTTTACTCAACAGAGGTTTTGGGAGCATCTTAATCTCACTACTTCCTAAATGTTTAATGCCGAGAAAACAAAAGGGACTGTAAACATATAAATACATGAAATGCATTGATTTGTAAAGATCTAGACAGCATTAAAGCCTTTTAACAGCGCCTGCATCTATTGCCTGCAATCTTGTCATATATAATTGCCACTGAAAATGTTTATTCTAAAATTGTTTAGAAACTGACATTTGACTCTCAAATATCTTTTTAGAAAGACTCAATTTAAATCAAAGGTAAGAAAAAATTATCAGCTGTGTTGGGTTTGTATGACAGGGTTTTGGTAGTTGGAGAAGAGTTATGGGGTAGGTCCTGTAAGGAGCTGCTGGAAGCTTCCCTGGCTCCAATTTGGACCCACCCCTGGCCACAGCTGAGCTAATTAGCAGCCGTTGTAGTGCCTCTGTGATAACATATTTAAGAGGAGAAAAAACCCTGCTGTGGAACCTGTAGCAGAGAGAGGAGTGGGATGTAAAAGAGAGAATTAGGCAGATACCCAAGTCAGTGTGGAAAAGGAGGGGAGGAGATGCCCAGAGCCCGTGGTGACAGGGCAGGCTGTGCCCCTGAAGCCATGGAGGGTCACAGGGGGAGCAGAGACCCCACTGCAGTCCAGGGACAACCCCACTCTGGAGCAGGGGTATGCACCTGAAGAAAGCTGTATTCCTGTGGGAAGCCCACACTGGAGCAGGCTGCTCCTGCACCTCATGGGGGGGACCCACGCTGGAGCAGTTTGTGAAGAACTGCAGCCTGTGGGAAGGACTCGTGGGAGATGTTCATGAAGGGCTGTCTCCTGTGGGAGGGACCCCATGCTGGAGCAGGGGCAGAGTGTAAGATTCCTCCCACTGAGGAGGAATGAGTGGCAGAAACAACACGTGCTGGACTGGTGATAACCCATCCCTCTGTGTCCTGCAGGGAGATCAGGCAGAGAAATGGGGAGCAAAGCTGAGTCCAGGAAGAAGGGAGGGGTCAGGGGAAGGTTTTTAAGATACGGGTTTTGTCTCAACTTATTCTGTGTCTTATCTTATTCTGATTTGATTGGTAACTAATTAAATTGATTTTTCTCACAGGTAGAATCTGTTTTTCCCATGACCATAATGGGTGAGTGATCCTTCCCTGTCCTTGTCTCCACCCTCCATCCATTTGTTAGATCTTCTCTTCCCCATTGCACTGGGGAGGAGTGAACAAGTGGCTGTGTGGTGCTGAGTTTGTGTCTGGGCCTAAACAACAACATCAGCTCAGAAGTACCTGTTACTTTAAATATTGTCTTCAACATACATACGTTATTTGAGTTTCCTGCATATCTTTACAATCTCTGATTTTCAGTAATTCTGTATGCAACTGTTGGCATTCCAGCTGTATCCTTCTCCAGAGAGCATCCCGTGACTGCAGCTCACTTCTCATTTCTGAAAAGTCTGCTTCCATGTGCTAAAGCAGTAAGTAAATACATAAATAGTTAAGAAAAAATAGCTCAAAATGCTGCCTTTTAACACATCATTATTTTTGATACCTGTGTAATTTGTATGAAAGGGAACAGTGCTTTTATTCTGAGTTTAATTTCTGAAAAAGGCACTGCTTTCATGTCAGTTCCTTTCTCCAAAAATATCATCTAAAGATCAGATGCTGCAAATTCTTCAGCTCTTGCAATGTTCCACTGCATCTATTTCTGAAACTATCATAGGAAACATCATTCAGAAGTTCATTATTGTACTAAAGGCATCTAAAATACGCAGTTTACTTGTTTCATCAAGTTCTGTATCCCAGAACACTCTTCACATGCAGGAGTTACTACCATAAGGAACTTCTATTTCTACCTTTCTAACAGCATTTCCAAACTTATAACTAGAAAATTACAAGGCTATAGAAAGGCAGATTTAGGTGCATGTCTTCATTAAACCTTGCCTGGCAGCTTGGAGCAGATACATCTAGTCTTATGTACTTGGATAATGCGTGTGCTCAACCATCTTCAAAACTAGTTCTATTTGCATGGAGTTAATTGCTCATTTAAATGAACATCACTAATTTTTCAGTCAATCACAAAAAATATTTTTCTTAGGGACTCCACAAACTTTATCTCTATTTTGCCTTTAGTTGCTGATTGATATGATAGACAACCTGAATATATGTTATATTTGGCATCGTAAAATCTGTATTCACCCCAAAAAGATCAGAGTTCCCCAAAAATATACTGAAAACATACTAAGGATAAGAACTTGGAAATATAACCCACAAATAACAAAAGTAACAATAATAATCAGATTCTTGCAATAATAATATCCAGAGAATAATTATTTCCTCTTACCCAAGGTCTGAAAGTATGTTCCAGATTAAAAAAGAAGGCTTTTCTAAGGAATTTGATCCTTTGCTATTGAAACTGCTACACTAAATACTTAATATTTTTCATAATTTCTTAATTTTATTTTACTATAGTATCCATGTTTAAAAGAAAAAAAAAGCCTTCAAACTTTCAAAAGACAACTGGAATCCGGAAATGACACTGCAAGCAAGGACCTTCAAAGGTTTATTTCCCTTAGAGCCTCATATTAGAATGACCTTCCTTCCAAGAAGCCTGTGGTTTTTCTCTGGCTGAAAGAGCTGCTGGAGACAGACATGAAGTGCTCTTGCATTTTTTTATAGGGGCTGCATATACAGATTCATTCATCTTATACTTCGTTAAATTAAGGCTGAGCGCGCTTTTTTTAAACTATGAAATGCAAGTTGGGGCATATTCACATGAAATAAGGCTTAACAAATTGTTAAAATTGTCTGCAAGACTTGTTTATGATCATCTTCATGACTTCAACATTCAAGAAATAGCCACAATTATTTTATAATACATGAATTTTGGGAAGGGTTACCCCTTTGATTACATTCTGGGGTGGGTAAGGGGAATAAATGCTGCACAACTGTGTGGTGGAAGTCATATCGTCTGTGGCAGACTATAGTCAACACACATATTTACATAAACAGTGTTTTCTTCTATGAATTATAATAATAGCAGGAACAACAGAAGCCACAGTAGCCGCCACAACAGTAATTGAAACAGAACTTTAGGTCAAGGGTTTCACACATCACTTCAAGAACACCATTTAGATATTCCCTAAAATAATAAGTGGTACATATCTACTGCATCCAGTTAAAACACCAAAATGAAAATCAGAAAACTTGGTTTTGTTCAGGAAATATCTAATGAAATATAACTTCAATTTTTTCAACTTGAAACAACCTCTTAGAAAATCCTCTCTTTTCTGAAAAGTTTTGCTTCAACTAGCTTGTCATGTTTGATATCAAAAGGAAGTCTCAAAATTCCTGATCAGCTCCTGTTCTGATTCTACTCAAGCTGTTCAACCTTTGAATAGAATAATATGCTTTATTTCTATGGGAATTGGTGTCCAGCAGCTGGCTTAAGGCAGACTTTCCAAGAACTAAGCCTCCTGTGTGATGTTTTCAGGCTGCCTCTCATGTATTTACAATTAAGTATATGTACAAGCAACTAAGTTTGTCAGACCATTCACAAGGTAGAGAAATGATCTGAAGTCTCAGTTAGGATCTTCTGAAGTCTGTATTTTCTGTACAGCCAACAAATTGCTCCTGCATACATTTCACTCTATCACTGTGTCCTTGCTAATTAATAGTATGAGAGAAATATTAATGAAACATGAAACAGCCACAGGCCTAGAAGATTTATGAGGCACAATACTAGGCTTGCTGCCATTGCCATGAGCCTTCTCCCCACCAAGATTCCCATCTACTCCTCCCTCCTTTAACCACAGCAGGTCCAACTATTCCCATCCTCCACTTAGCACTCCTTCATGCAAACCTACTACTGAGAAGAGATCAGCACCTCCCTTTCCACTTTGATTTGTTCCACTCCATATTCTACTCCCACTACTCTTAATGGCAGCCTTTTTTAACAGGCCCCAAAAGAGGTTTTTGCTTGCAAACCAGGTGTGCTGCTTTTGTATGGGATAGAGTTAATTTTTTCACACTAGCTAATATGAGGCTATGTTTTGGATTGGTCCTGAGAAGAATACTGACCACATACTAATAGTTGTTGCCAAGCAATGTTTACATTAAGCCAAGGAATTTTTCAGTTATTCACACTGCCTCTGTGTCAGAGCTTCTTCTCTGCAAAAGACTTGGAGGGGACACTGTCAGGACAGCTGACCCCAACTCACCAGGGTATTACATGCTATAAAATGTCATGGTAAGTATACTAGTTGGGGGGAGATGGCTGGGGCATTTCTCATTCTCTGGTTCTCACTGCTTGGGGACCATCTGGGTATTGCTTGGTGGGTGGTGAGCAATTGTATCACTTGAGCTTTTTTCCAGTGCTTTTTTCCTTTTTATTACGTGTTATCATCATTATTATTATTACTGGTAGTATTTTCATTACCCATTATTAGTAGTGTTAGTATTAGTATATATTTTTTCATTTATTTTCAATTATTAAAATGTCCTTATCTTAACTCACGAGTTTTCTTACCTTTTCCTCTGATTCCCTCCCCCTTCCCACCATGGGAGGGGGGAGGTGAGCAAGCAGCTGTGTGCTGCTTAGTTGCTGTCTGGGGTTAAACCATGACAACAGGTAAATGGCCCAGTGAACTAATGTGCAAATGAAACTTATAAACAACACTTGCACTAACGTGGCTGTTCTGACAACACCCGAAATTAACCTCTACCACATATATGTTAATTCCTATAAAGTACATTGCATATGAAGTTATAACTCTGCAAGGTTGCCTATAAACAGAAATAGATTATTCTTCTCCAGAAAGAGTCGAAGTCACTGGAGGCCACTCAATATATTACTGAGCCTTGAAGTGCTTAAATTTAATAAGAAAAAAAAATTATATATGTTACCAGGAAAAAAATAGCAATGAGAATCTCAATTCCTGGTCTGTTTCAAACATAGCTAATAGAAAAGGCTGTAAAGTTCTTGTATTATCTCAATCTTGTCAGGATTCGTATATCACAACCAAAAGAAGAGGCCCAAATGGCTGTATTCGTAGATCAATGCTATGCTGAGAAACAGTGCACTAGGGATAAGATAAAAATTGATGGTTCTTCACAGGGCTGGCAACCTAAAAATTCACTACCTGCAAAATCATCTCTCAGTAATGAACTCTACCATACACTTTGCTATATACTTACTGGCTACGTGGTACAGTGTACAACAAGGTGTAAATCAGATAAAGAGATTTCATAGAAGTCATTTATGTACAAGGAACCAAGTGAACTAGGCTAAGTTTTAAACTAGGTTTAAAGGAGGAAGGGGGCAAACTCACTAGTGCCACCAAGAGATGCCCAGAGCCTGGAGGAAAAGTCGCAGGTCACCAGGAGAACATCGGGCAAACAAAACAAAAGAATTCCAGCTGCTCCAGTCTGCAAGCCAATCGTGGGCCCATCTTAATGCCCCTATGCGAATGCACGGAACATGGAGAATAAGAGGAGTTAAAGGCATGCGCACACATGCAGGGCTATGATCTCACTGGTGTTGTGGAGACGTGGTGGGATGTCTCCT